CTCCTCCTCTTCTTCTTCTTCTTCTGCTCCTCCTCCTCTTCTTTTTCTTTTTCTTCTTCTCCTTCTCCTCCTCTTCTTTTTTCCCTCCTCCTCCTCTTCCCCCTCCTTTCCCTCCTCCTTCTCCTCCTCTTCTTCCTCCTCCTCCTCCTCCATGCCTGCCATCTAATCTCCCTTTCTCTCCCCCAGGCATAAATGCCCAGGCCCGGAAACTCCAGCGGAACCGCGCCAAAGGCACCATGACCCTCCTGACGGGATGCAAAAGCCACTCCACGCCGCCGCCTCTCCGGCGCACCGTCAGCGAGACCAGCCTCAACCAGGCCAGCACTCGGGACGAAGGCGAGGAGGAGCAGCTCCAGAGGCATTACTCCACGTTGCCGGAGACCCTGCGATGCGTGGAGAGCGCGAGGAACGGGGAGCCGCCTCGCGCGGAGGAGCAGAGTAGCACTAGCCTGCGCCACTCGCTTTACCAGTCTCCGCATCTCCTGCTCCTCCAGGGCTACAGCCAGCAGCACGTAAGTGCGGGGACCGTCGTTCCCCTTGGCCTCTCCCACTGTAGGAGATTTCCCCTTGCTGCCATAAGGTCTTACCACTACGGTCTCCAACGTGGCGCCCATGAGTCCCATGTTGCCTGTTGATGTGCCTCCTGGCGCCTGCTTATAGCTTGGATCAGCTATGTAAGAGCACGCTGTACATTTATGAAATGAGGGGGCAGGGAGGCCAAAGGCAGATATATTTCTCTCTCCCGCTCTCTTAACACGAGAACTCCGGGATGATTTAGTGGCAGTAGATTCAGGACAGAGTCAGAGGTGCGCCACAGCGAAACAGGTAATTAAATGATGAGTTTCACCGCCGGGAGATACGGTGGCAGCCGCTCGCTGAGGTCCTTTTTTAGGGGAAGTGGAAAACGTTTCGTTGCGTCTACTTATCTGTGAGACTGCGAGGCCCCTCTTGTATTGTCCCTGTGGCTGCAGTTTGGTAGCAGCCGAAGAACGTTGGTCTGCAGAGAAGATGGAGCCACGTGTGTGTGGGCGGGAGGGGGAGCATAAGAGAGCATCAGAGCAGCCAGTGTTGGATCAGGCCCACCCGGTCCAACACTATAAACAGACTAAATAATGCACATGCAATCCGCTTTCAATGCACTTTGCAACTGGATTTTACTGTGTGAAATGGCAAAATCCACTTGCAAACAGTCTCTGAAGTGGATTGAAGCTGCATTATTTAGCATGTGTGGAATACCAGGTGCCATCAGGAGGTCCAGCAGTGGGGCCAGGACACTAGTGGGGCACTCCCACTGTTGCCCCCCCCCAAACACCAAGAAGACAGAGCATCCCTTGCCCCAGACCGAGAGCTCCTATCTATACCTTAAGAACATAAGAACATAAGAGACGCCAATGTTGGATCAGGCCAAAGGCCCATCCAGTCCAACACTCTCAAAAATACCAGTGCCATCAGGAGGTCCACCCAGGGCTATTTTTGGGCAGGAACGCACAGGAACGGAGTTCCGGCTGGCTCCCAAGTTGGCCACGCCCAGCAGGAACTCATTAGCATAATAGGCCACACCCAACAGCAGAAACACATTAGGATTGGCTACATTAGGGGTGTGTGGCCTAACATGCAAAGGAGTCCCTGCTACAAAAAA